GAGACAAATGAGGAGAAGAGGAGGGGTGGGGGGGGGGGAGGTGAAGTGTATATGCATTTCACTGTTAGTGTATGTTTATTTAAATATGGCAGGAACACCGCTGTATTAATTTTCACACTCCAAGTCAATGTGGTTATAACGAAATGTCAGGATAATTGTGACTGGAACTGCATTGGCTGATTTAGAATAAAGGCCAATGCTTACATAAAGGATTACACTCATGGTGATAAACGTAATCTGGAAAAGTCAGGTGCTTCTTTGGATTGGAGCCACTGACAAGATGTACAGCACATGAGGGTCTGAAGCCGTGCCGTGTACCTAACACCAGGCAATCTCCAAGTCTGGCATCCATGTTCTTGGAGCCCTTGGAATCTCTTTGATGACTCATCTTGAATGACAGAAGGCTGGTAAGGAGCAAAGGGTTATTATTTCTTTCTTTCTGTGGTGCCCGACATCCTTCAACGTGATGATTTAGTAGCAATTAGAAACAAGCCATAAGCTAACCACAAAGTGAGAGAAACATCTTTAATTGGTTGAAGACGACCTCGGTATCTCTTACCGACAGGCTTGCCATATGCTGCTGCCATTAGTAACCATGACTGATCTACACAGCATCTATATCAAACTTCCTTATCAGCATGTCTCTGCCATTTACTTGGAATCTAATGATGCAGTACTGTAGAGAAAACTTTGCTCTTAGTGTGCATGCATGCGTGTGTATAACATCCAAGAGAAAACATTCCTGCTACTTTCAGTGATGTTTGTAGTTCCTTTCCATGGTACACTTCTCCCTTGGGGGCAACTGATAGGTGCTTGTAGGCAAGACACAACACTTCAGATTGCTATATGAATATTGGTGGGAAAGCCAGATGGAAAGACACCACTGGAAAGACCAAGACGTAGGTGGGTGGACAATATTATAACGGATCTTAGAGAGATAGGATGGAATGGTATGGATTGGATTGATCTGATTCAGGATAGGGACCAGTGGAGGGCGCTTGCGAACACAGTAATGAATCTTCAGGTTCCATAAAATGCTGTGAAGCTCTTGAGTAGCTGCAAAATTGGCAGCTTTTCAAGAAGGGCTCAGTTCCGTGAGTGAGTGAGTCAGTGCTACTATGGGGCTGTCTGTCGATTTCAACTTAGTGGTAGTGCAATTTGTACTTGAAAGTGTTATGCTAGGACTACAGAACTAGTGAATGTTCTGGTACAGTTGCGTGATGCACATGTAACAAAGGTTAGTTTTCTTACTACACACCTGAACCATGTGTCACATTAATAAGAGGATGACTTGCATGAATGAGTGAATAAGCAATGAGCCTTTATCAGTCCTTATACCATGACCATTAGTGACCTACTGTGCCTCATTCCCTTTTGTTTCCATCCTGCAACAATCCTACACTTCGAACAAAGTGCAGGACGTTACTTAAAGGAACATGTTGGTACTTGCCTGGTTCAATAAAGTGGTGTCGCAGGTGATGAAAACTTAAGTAACACTGTGCCTCACAATCACAAAAGACATGTGGGGCACAGGATAACTTACTTTTCTTGCCATTGGAGTCCACACAACATTTCCGCATTACGTAGCCCTTCTTGTACTCGACAGCGGTGGTAGCATTGGGAATATCAAGGAATGGATTACTGCTGGCAGCAAAGTTTTGTTCGTCCACTGCAGCCTGTTTTGTTTGCTGTTGCAGAACTGAACCACATTCATCACCTTCATCATCCCTATTAAAAATATTAAATATGACCATCTGTTACAGATAATAAAACATAGAAATAAGTATATAAATGCAGTTCAACTTCAGCTTCATCAGCATTCTTTCCCTTGTACTAGTTGCATTATATTTTGAAACCCATTTTTGTTGATAGACTTCCTCCATTGTGTCTGGCGTGTGAACGTACAAATAAACATGACTGTGCTACACGCCTTCTTAATCTCCTGGAAAAATATACCAAGTTCTAGCAAGAACTTATTTCCTTCAACATCCTTAGTGGAAGGCTAGGAGGCATTATAAATTAATAATTATTCATATTACCCATCTACAATAAACTCTTGCCTGCTGCAGGCATTATGTTCTTAGAGAACAGTGTATTAGATAAATTCATAGTGGACAATTTATTATCTCAAAGGTGAAATGGGGATATATTTTAATGTATTTGGGTGGCATGATTACAGATGGGGTTTGGATTGGATGACTGGATTTACTGCACTTATACACTGAACTCCTTACTACATGTAATTACAACGCTATCCCTGATCGGTACACTTTACAGCTCACTGTTACACAAACACACACACACACACTATGATTTTCTGTCTTCACTAGTCATATCCTGACAATGGATTTTAACAGTCTCACTGTAACTACACACTCCAAATGTCACTATACTACAGCACACATGAAGTCTTTCCTGCACAACTGCACTGATGATTCTCAGCTAACTCGCTTCCATCTCTTCTCAGTCAAAGCTTGCAGAGCTCAACAGCACACAGCATTCAACTCTCAGTTGGCCTAGCATGCTTGTTATATAGCCTCAGGGCTGACCCAACAGGAAACATTGTTTCCTCACATTCCCTCCATTGTTGCTTGCATATTCATTGCAGTGGGAACGTGTTTACAGAGTCACTGCCTAGATGAATGTTTACTCTCGTTCCACTATTCTGGCTTTCAGGAATTGGCAGTTTGAAGCCTCCCATTAACACCAATATACATAGGTAAGCTCAAGAAAATTTATACAATCTATAAAACAAAACTTCACTGAAGTTAACATGCCAGAGCAGAAGTGACATTAAGACCGTGTGGGTAGTGTGAAGGAGAAATATGCAGGAGATTTGGAGAGATTAGGTCAAAATATTAGAGTCCATATTGGAATCCTGCATATATTCAAACTACCTGCACTTAGCAAATAGTTGTTCACATTTGTTTTTGCATGTATAAACAAATTCACATTGGATGAATATGCACTGGACAAGGGTTTACTGTAATTCTGAGCATCACTTTCATAACACAGGCTCTCACCAGATCAAAGTTATTACACACAACCTCAAAGATTTATTATTTCATACAAAATTTGCAGGTATGTTTTTGATCAATACTGATATAAAATTTCACATGTATCACAAAGGCCTGTTTAGCTATTACTGTCAAACAGCTAAATCTCGTTTCATGATGCCATCATGTTTTTTCATGCTACAGAAAATGGCGTTAAGATTTGCATCATATTTAAGATTTCAAAATCCTATATTAAGAGACATTGGTTCTAACAGCATGTTAGTAATTTGCACAATTATCATGTTTGTATTAGTAATGAGAGCGACTTGAAAGAGTACAACACGTGACAACTCTCAATGTCATGATCTACACACCAAGTTTCACAAAAATCAATACAGTGGTTCAAAATTTCAATATTATAGGGTGACGAGCCATTTAACTGTCAAACCCTGCTAGACAGGTAAAGTTGCTTGGCAGTAAATGCAGCTGCACACAATATTCCACAGTACTTTCCTCAAATTACTAATAACAACAGAAATATTTAATGTGAAAGCCAATTCCTTCCTCTACACATCAGTATGCCAAATGTGATGTCATCTGTTTACAGAAATGCTGTACTAATTGACTATCTAGTCAATCTCCTTGGCTATGGTATATGTAACACAAATATACTATGCAAATTCAGTCAGTATATGGCATGTGAAGGGTTAACACAGCTTTCCCCAGTTGAATTTGGCCGCAAATCCCTTTCGAAATTGAGAAATATTTACAGAGCCCATTAAAATTCTTACATATGAACCTTAAGAACTTGACTACAAATAAATAAAAGTAAAAACATATACACATTATGCAAGATTATGAGATCAGCATATTATTTAAATGCACACATTTAAGAACAAAAATTAAGAATGAAGGTTAAAACTAATATACACACATGAAGAAAGTCGTCTTCTGGGTTTAGGCGCCGTGTGTTCTTCATTTTGGCCGACGTTTCGGAGGACCGTATCGCCTCCATCTTCAGTGCAAGTGAATGGTTTGGAATGTAGCTGTAGCTACTGCTCTCTGCATTCCAAGCCATTCACTTGCACTGAAGATGGAGGCGATACGGTCCTCCGAAACGTCGGCCAAAACGAAGAACACACGGCGCCTAAACCAAGAAGACGATTTTCTTCATAGTCATCGCCGTGAAAACCTCAAAACTTACATAATATACACACATATTTGCAATTTTTAATGTGAACAGTGGTTAATTGTTTTTTATTCACATATTTTTCCTATGTTTGGCCTGATATTGGAAAGCTGAATTCTCAAATCTGGTCCCATATGTAGACTATTTCTGTATTTTGTTTTTCTTTCATAATCCAGTTTCACACTAGTTTTGCTGATTTGCACATCTTGATAAAGAGGCAAACACACACATTAGTTTAATAATTCCTTCTTTGAGAGTGACATTTCTAATCTATGAAAGTTCCTAAATGAAAATTATTTTAAGGGAAGTTTGTAATAACATGTATTTTTTGTGATATATTTTAATAAAATTTTCTCGTGGTGAGAATTTTCACATTGCAGAACCCTGGGGTTCTGCAGAACACCATTTGAGAAACAGTAAGTTAATGCATATAAGGATATGACAGCATAAGCCATTTTTTCCTTATGAAATAAGAAAGCTAAGCTGAAAATTACAATATCGCTGTTGACACTGCAACTGAATGTTCCTTGGGGCACAAAACATCCGTGATATGACATCAATAAGACCAACTTACAGTGCCCATTCCAGAGGATAGACCTTGATAGCCTGGTAAAGTTGTTTCAGCACCTCACGGGGAAAATTGTCACCATCATTCAACTCTGCCAGATTTTCTATGAATTCTGAGCATGTCATCTTGCGTCCAATATTTTGCCCATGCAGATCAGTGTTCAGAAGCATGATGGCACATGTGAGCGTGTGGACAGCATCTGTGGGGAATCATTAATCAGTATGGCAGACTTACAGTGTGTGTGAGGCCCACAAATCGCATATTACACATCATGCAAAACTATTTCATGAAACTTGAAAGTAAGATGTTCTGGCTGTTACTGGCCAAGAAGCAGCAAGTGCGGAGGTGGGATTCTACTTTAGTTAGCCTCTGGACAACTGTCAATGTACACAGAATTCACAAACATGTTGGAAACAACATATAAGAAGAGTGAAAAACAACAGACACCAAAACAGAAATATACATACCAACATGACATAGTAATATCAGGTTTTATTTTTTTTAAATATATAGAAATTGTGTCTTATTAGCGAAATTTAATGTAAGGTACCTAAATATTTACAGATGATGTGTTATATTTACACACACCAATGGAAAGCATCGCACAGAATGTTGCAAAACAACATAACCAATGCCAAAGCAATAGATACAACTGACATCACCATATTATAACAATAACAGTAACAATTTTACTTGAGATTTATGTCCCAGATATTGAAATATCTCAATTATCCTCATGAGGCTGAGTGGACCCCATTACATGTGCTCATCATAAGCAATAAACAAGATATTCTCAGATGGTAACATGCATTGTAATTTCATACAGAAAATATATCAGGAAAAGGAATCCTACCAAAAAAGTACTTCCATATTTCGATGAAACTGATGTTACAGTTCACTCTTTTGGAAGACGGTATACTCGTATACTCACTTTTCTCTGTATTCAATGAAAGCCAAGTTTAACTTATGAAATTCGAGATTTTTGATACATTAACATACTGAGCTAAGTCAAAAGTATTAATACTTCAAGAAATTTCAGGTTCTCACAGTGGTGGCTATGATGATTGTTGTCTTCTGGGATGACACCATGTAGTTTGGTAGATGAGGTATTAGTATTCTGGAGTAAAGGGTTGCATCGATTTCAGGGTATCCTGCATTTTCCACTGAATAGCTGGCATCTCTCTACCAAACTACATGGTCACAATACTTAATTTACTAGTTCTGTAACCAAAATAGATTGACTGTCTTCACCGCACATTATGCTTCCACACCATGATTTGCATGAAGAATTACCATACCCTACGAATCATGGTTCAAGATAGTACCTTGTGAATTGAAAGTGCCTGGATTACAATCTAGGTAATGTTTTGAGAAGTGAACCAGAACTCGCTCTCTCTCCTGAGTCTCTCCTGTGAGGCTGAACTGTTTGAGGAATTTACGCAGCGCAACATCAAGGGTGTCACCTTCGAAACTGAAGTACTTGAGGTATTCTTCTGCCACCACACGACTGAAGTCATTGCTGAAAAACAAAGCAATTACAGTAAAACTTGGTTATAGCAACATCGGTTTCTGCGACACCTTGTCTATTGCGTCAAATATTCAATGGTACGAACTAATTCCTCATAAAGCAACTGTTTTTATACCTTGCTCAGTACGACATGCACAAATGCATCAACCTCGTATGTAACGTCATTTTCATTCCTGAATTTCTCTGATATCGTGGGAAAGTTCGATGTGTCTGCCCACCCTCACTTTCTCTACTTGCTGACGTGACTGTCCTGGAAGAATACGACCGCGGGCTGCAAGAGGAGCGTGGGTTTTATGCGAAAACAAGGGTGTGGGGTGGGACTGCGTGAATAGTGCAAGAGGACGCGGCAGGTTGTTAACTGCATTCCTTTCCTAGAATCTCGTCTAACAGGACCTCACATTGTCTACTTACCCTATAGTGTTCCTGCCTAAACCCAGAGAAGTGCAGTAGCGAAAACATGGCAATGAAAAGGAAAGTTTTAAGCATTGAAGAGAAAGTTAAAGTGATTCGTGAAATATTGTGTGTATTGTCAGTGAAAAGCGCTGTAATATGTCTTTGATATTACACATTTGGGCAATTCCACGTTAATGTTACGTTAGTCTGTACTTAACTATGTATTTCACTAAAAAATGCAACATTTTAACTCGGTTTTTGGTAGATTTTTACGTGACTAACATAAGGCTACTGTTGAAGTGCCCATTTCGGTTATGACATTCGTTTATAACGACACTATTTTTAGGTCCCTTTGATGACATTATAACCAAGTTCTACTGTACTTACACTAGGGTTAATCTAGGGTAACTAGGGTTAATCATCTAACAGTATAGAATATAAGGTCTGTTAAAAGTAAAAAATGTAAGATAATTTTTGTGGTGTCAAAACTAACACAATCAACCATACAAGAAATATCAGGATTAATTATGTCTGTCCTCATACGTGACTGCATCCAAAATTTTGGACTGAAACGCCCAGTTTTCTTATTTTTCCCAACTATAAGACACAACTAAACATGTAAAATGTGCCTTGATACTAGAGGGTAATATTTTAGGAGGGAAAACCTGTATTACTTATATTTAGAAACAGCTTCAACCTAAGAGGCACATTTGGATTCCATGGGAGCATTTTCTAAGAAAAACAGATGCCTTATGTTAATGACTGTTCAGGGATGTTTCATCCCTGAACAATTATATTAAAACAAACGATTCAAATGAAATTAAAAATTCAACAGCATGTACTGCTGGGACAATTGAATATTTTTAGTTTTTAACTGTAAGATGTATTACCCATTGTGACCACTGTTTGCTTATATATGTCTTACATGCACGTTTCCTATCACCAGATTGTGTGGTAAATTAGCCTAAAAATCAATATCATCACCCACACGTCTGTAGTCCACTCTCTGCTTCATACTCTCCTACTACTCTCAGAAATTCTCATGTTTGGAGTAGCAAAGTTTTCATGTGTGTGATAACTTGGTTGCTAGGTTACTAATTACAGATTCAGGAACTAAGGTTCAGTTTCCAGTACATGCAGGAATTTTTCTCCACACCACCACTCCTTGATCAGATCTAGAACCTAATCACCAGTCTCATGACTCACTGGTAATGGGGGACTTTTTCTGGAGGTAAATAAGCTGAAGCATGCATATGTAACTTACATAAGTGACCACTCCCTTACCTTACAGTACCAAGGTCTATGCCTTCATTGTGTGATGAACAAGAAAGGAAAACTATACGTTTAAACTAACTGCATGCAGCGAAGTAATTGAGAAGCTGACAGTTGCTCAGTAAGTCAAGGAATCTCCCACCTTTTACAGAATCCAAAAGTTCGTTACCATGTTATATGTGATGTTCTCACAGAAGTGACTAAGAAGAGTGCAGTCTTCTGGGTTGTAACATCATGCAAGAAACCAGAAGGAAGTAGGTAGCAAGCAATGGTTGCTTTTCTTACTCCTCAACCCTGGAGATGGGGCAGTATATCCCTCAAAAACATCAGGTTTTCTGAACTACACATCATTAGAAGCCATAAGACCATACTCCTTATTTACTACCATGTTTACATGTACATGCCATGGAGCAATGTATCTTTCTTCATCTTAATTACATGACATGCTTTCAAGGAACTCATCCCTTTCATGAAAAACGTTTTAAAGATATCCTGAAAACTCACTTTTTGCTGAGATGTCTAGAAACATCAGACTTTTTGAAGCCATCAAGCAAAAAAAGTCTCTTGGCAAGGCGAATTGCTGAAGGAATGTCCACTGCCTTCGGGCTGTAGTGGAAACTGTGCAGACTCTCGATGTCACTTTCATCTTCTGATGATAAGGGAGGGGATGTAGCCTTTCCTCCTCCTGACATGGCTGCATGCAGTACTGCATCCTCACTCAATGTTGGCAATTCATCCTCTGATTCACGCAGCTCCTGGTGTTTATAAGGCAACTGCATTCCAGAGTGTTACTCTTGGTTCTCACAAGGTAACTAACTACAGTCAAATATTTTCTTAACATACCTTTAAGTGAACATTTATACACTTGTATTACTGGCAACAGTATAATAAAATGCATTAAAGGATGTCAAGCAGACACAATTTCATATGGAAATCAAATGGATTGTGCTGTGAAACATGTCCTGCTATTAACACCCCTATCACATGAAGAACATGATAGCCTAATTTAATCTGTAACATAATAGCGACTTCCTTTCTTTCCTTAAGACCATAATTTTAGTTTGTTCTATGTTTATTTACAGCCTGTTTTCTTCTGCCCAATGGATACAAAAACAGTCCAAATTTTAATGTGTTGCCTGGAAATCCTATGGGAAGGTCTTGGAAAAAAAAGCCTAAGAACATCAAAATCATAAATTCAATGTACCTAAAGAAGGCCCTGAGAGTTTCAAGCCACACGCCCTCATGTCTAGTCTACTTCCTAGCAAGAGAAAGTCTTCTGATAGAAGATTTAAGATGGAAGCTGCTTCTGCCATACATCAACGCAGCAAACAAATAATAACAAGGCAAAAAAGAGGAAGAAAATATGGTGCGAGTTCCACTCCACAGAAGCTAACATTAACAGAGACTGGATGAAGTCAAACTATGATCACAGAAATTTAGTTAAGCCACAACATATGCGAATCAAAGGGCTACCATTTCCCAAATGAAGCCTGCTGCTGTAAGCCCTGTGATGCAGAATGCAGGAGGTACATCATCAGAGACTGCAACAGAGTACTAATTCACTGATCACTTACTCAGAAGGAAACTAATGTATACTGTGCGCAACTCAATACTTTAATAGTGATCAGTAAGTGTTTTATCATTTGAAGAATACAAACATTTCAGAGATAAGTAGATAAACCATACAAGTATATTTGTACATCCAACTGCCCTATAATATACACAAGACCCATGATATATGTCTGTCCCCAACCTAAATAAGACAAAGATATTAACACAAGGACTTCTCGATATCAAAATTTGGTGTAAAACTCTCATAATCCTTCGATAATCACTGGAAATATGAGTAACTAATTTCACTGACAGAGTCCTGATGAGGTAATTGGATTTTTTTTTTTCAGTTGACCTAATCCTTCCAGCCGCACTAGGCCCTGGGGTTCACACAGCCTCTAACAGAAATGAGTACCAGGAATTAATTAAATAATTTTCCTGGGGAGTAAAGCGCGGCCGGCGGGTAAGGCTGGCAACCTTACCGCCATCTTTGAGCTGATTGTCTAGATAATGTGGGACCCTCAACGTCTCACAACCCTATGGGCCTTCACGGCCTGGTACAGGGCTAGCTTTACTTTTACTTACAGTGAATACACATCCCACCCACTGATCCTAATCTGAGCCAGATACAGTCCATGTTACAGCGCCCTATTTCTTAAGACCTATTTTTACACTATCACCCTTCACGTTTTCTACTAAAATTCTGTGTGCATTGTTCATCTCTTTCATGCATACTACAGGCTCTCTCCATCATGTTATTACATTTGGTGATGAGTATAAATAATGTAGCTCCTCCCTTTCCTCTAGCCTCTAGTTACTTCCTCCATCTGAAGCAGAAATACGCATCAGAACCCTGTTTCAAACATTCTCAATTTATGTTCTTCCTTTATGGTGAGAGACCAAGCTTTCACATCCATACAAAACAGAAGGTAATGGTATTTTTTTATATTTTAATATTTGTTTTGGATTCGGGAAAAGATGAAAAGTGATTTTTAACTAAAATTTAGCAAGAATTTCTGAAATTTAATATGTTCTTAACTTCTTTGTGAATGTAATTTTGTTACAGTCTTTCCCAAGTAAGTGTAAACTATCAGTTATCTTGTATCCAGGCACCTGGAATTATTATCCAACTTGCACAAATTTGAAACAAAATCGATCACTTTTATAAATTTATTCAAAAACAAATTTGCAAGGCGTATATGTTCTCACAGGCACATAGTTGTTCTCCCAGTTCCCACTGGCAGTGCTACTCATAATCCTCCATTAAGCAGGTGCCGTTATAGCACGGGCTAGTTCAATTCTTCTTAAGTAATTAATAAATTAGTGTTACGACATGTGTGTTTCAGGGAGACAATCCATTCTTACTGTAAACTGTATTCAGTATTACCTGATATCCAACGAGCTCTGGTGCGACATTCCCTGAGCTCTGACTTGAGGGTGATCTCGAAGGTTGTTGAGCAGAGAGTGCACTGTACATCAAATCCGCTTCTCTACTTGCCAGTGGAGGCACAGCCCCCCCTCGATGTGTTCTCCTAGACCCTCTAGGACTAATGGGTGCACTCAGCCCACTGCCGTCCTTATCTGGTCCCTTCACCTGAATAACAATCCTGTGTTCAGCAGAACCTTGCCCAACCATATTACTATGCAGATGCGCACCGTCTGACAAAACAGACGAATTCTGGTTCTTATTGTTATTAAGGTGATGTAATTGCTGGGCATTACTATTATTCATTGCAGTTACTGCTGGAGTCCGATCACTAACTAATAACGTTGAATCACTGTCACTAGGATCACTCACTTCCATCAGATCTCTTGTGCTAAGGATATCTAACGTCTCTTCTTCCTGGAAATCTGGACTTGAGATGTTGGAAATTGCTTCTGATTGGCTCAGATCTCCATTAGGTTGTTGGAGGTATGATATGGAGTCTACTGCAGGTCCAGGTGCTGCTCCAGTGACAAGAAGTGGGATCTTCCGTGAGCTGGAATTACTTGACATTACTGATGAGGATACTGATGTTGGAGAGGCTGGAGACAACGATCTCTGGGGGCTGATACCCTCTGAGGATGTACAGGAAGCAGATCTGGAAGCAGCGGAAGACCCTGACCTGGATGCCACTGAGGAAAGTCCCCCACAGCATGAGTTATCAGAGCCAGAGTTAGAAGGTGATGAGGCAATAGGAGCATTGTACGTCCAGACTATGCGGTCACTGTTACCAGTAGTCCCTGTTGCATCAGCAACCCCTGATGAAGGATGGGCTATATGATTGCTGCTTCCACCACTATCCTGCCTTGTATCCAGCAGTGTGTTAAGGGAAGATGTCACATCCTCATCAATGTCTATATCAACAGCACTCATGGAAGAATCTTTCTGAAACTGGAGATGGTCTTCTGATCGAGATGTTCTCACAAAGCCACTGATTGCGTGGTGATACGGAAACGCAGATGCAGACGATGAACTTTTGGTATCTGGATTTGAGGAAGACGCGGTACAACTTGGCTGGTTACATACACTATTGTCTCGTTTGTTGATGCCAACAGGAGAAGTCCCCGCTGAAGTTGTTCCTCCTGGTGGTGCAGATACCGATTTATAGTGATGATTTCTGTGGCCCATCTCCATCTCGTTTGGGCTTGTTGGTACTGAATTATGATGATGGTGATGATTGTAGCGATGATGGTGGTGGTGATGATACCTTAAACTGTCTACTTTTTTTTGATGCTTGGGTAGTAACCCACAACTTTGTTGAGTTCGGGACAGGTTGAGAATCAAGTCTCCGGTCATCATGAACGCTTCAAACCGAGGAGGACGTGGCCTTGAGAATTTATCACTACCCAAAAGAGGTTCCCACTGAAGTCTTTCACCTTCTTCGAAACTATCGATGGAACTGCCGCCACCTTGTGTTCCTGTAGGAAGAAGTGCTTCAAGCTCTGTACATGCTGCATAACTGCAAGTTCCATTGCTTGTTGTTTGCTGTGGAGATGATGGTGACTGGAATTGGTTGTCTCCCGTGTGACCACTGCTGGTATCTGACAGAGGTGAGGAACTCGACAATAAAGGCTCTTGCTGTTCTTGCTGAGGTTTCCGATTACTAGAAGGCGTAGGTGCTGATGAGACAATACTGTTATTACAAAGGTTTTGATGTTCCCTTGAAATAAATTCAGTTAAGTCCTCCTCTAGGTGTTGAGGTGATGACAAATAGTGACGTACACGTGCTTTTATCACAGGATCTGCATCACATAAGGACAATAATTAGAAATTGAAATAACTAAATGATGAAAGTTTTGACAAACTGTAAAACCTAGATTGTGTTTATATTTTCATCTAAATTTTCATAATATAAGTACTCAATGACATATGGCCTCACAGCACAAGATAAATCAGCTACGAATGTTCTTTACGCTTATTTCGCCTTCCAATTGCGTTTTCCAGTTTGCATGGCAATGGCGAAGAGAGAGATCTGACACTACACGTATTGCTGGAGTTCAACTACTAGCCTGCTGCTGGAAAATTTAGTTAGTTCAAGTGTACTTGAATATCTACATTCTATCCACTTGCGATCTGATAGATAAGAATGAATGTGAAATTAACAAGAACTTTTGGGAAGAACCAGTCGCCTACTTTCCTTGCACTATACTAGAAAGATCTGATACAAGTACAAAGAAGACCTTATCATGTACACATAATTAAGTCAATAAAACAATACAACCTGGGAGGCTCCAGTGTTAGTATTACTGGCGGAAGTGATTTACGAAGCACGCAGCTGATTTACATACCAAGTTTCGTGAAGACTGGTTCGTGAATTCAGGTAATATTAAGGTTATAACCTCCATAATCTGAGAGGCTGCAATGTTGGTGTTACTAATGGAAAGGATTTATGAAATATGCCTCCACGCTGTGGAGGAAGTGCACACAAACCAGGAGCGTATGGCAGTCAAAAACTGAAAGTAGACCACGAACGTGAGGGGCAAGCTGCCGAGAAAAACACCTTCTTACATTTACGAAAATGACGACACCCTGGGTGAGGTGAAATAATATGCAACACAAAATTCTAAAGGATTTTATCTCGTTTTACTTAAAAAGAAGACTACAGCGTGTGATTTTATCACAAATTAAAACAGTGTAACAGTTTTTAACACAGTTTTAGTAAAATAGTTGTAATATAAAACCACCTAAAGATGGCCGTTTTGAGGCCGAAACATGTAGTGTTGAAGTGTAGAATGTAAAAGTGTTGCAATTTTTACAGAAGATAAACAATGGACGCTAATGCTGTCAAAAGTTTAAAGGAACTGCATGAATTTTCAGTACAACGGAATGATTCAGACATGCTTAGTGTAATTTCTCAAGCTAAAAGTATTTATGAAAAGTTAGACAGGCAAGAGAGTAAACTGCGTGCAAAAAAAAACTCTGCTTGAGTTCTGGTAAAATTATAAAAAGTGAGTACTGCAATTATTTTCTGTTCAGTGTATTGTTTGCATGTGTTCAATGATTATGTGAGTATGGTGTTTTATTTTGTCTCAAATATATGCATGTCCTGGACCCTTGAGATTCCGTTTAAGACAGGCTTTACTGTATTATTCTAATTTAGAAGTGAATCCACATGAAACAGATGAAAGCAATTTAATCCCATGTTAGTTTGCACTGACTCAGTACTGAATGGCTTTGGCTGCAGCTGCCTCATCTGATAAAAAGTTTAGAAACCAACCAGAAAGTGTGATCAATGAACATGTAGTGGATAAGATAACGAAGCTTCCTACAGGGGGTGAACAAAATAATGGAAACACTATGAACTTGAGGAATAGAACTGTGTTGATTACACTGAAAGAACTTCAGTTGGCAACACTGAATGTTCTTCTGCGATGGGTGGTACAGTTAAAAGCAATAGGAAGCGGAAAGGAGTAAGGACCCAGGTCGCGATTATCATCACTACATAACGTGGAAGCCGCTTGCTTTCGGTCACAGGTTGGAAGAACAGAAGATGTTGGAACACTGACAAATCTAAATTGTTAAGAGGGCCAGATGACATCTTATTCTGTGTGGAACTAACTACGGACTTGAGGCCGCGCCATAGCTGAAGCGGTTAGTCGCTGGCTTCCCACCGCGGAGGCCCGGGTTCGATCCCGGGTCTGGTCAAGTGGGATTTGTGGTGGACAAAGTGGTGCTGGGGCAGGTTTTCTCCGAGTACTTCGGTTTTCCCTGCCAATCTTCATTCCATCAAATTCTCCATCATCATAATCACCCGGGACAGGCTACAATAGGCCAATCAGTGGCCGCCGTGCCGAGTGGACCCAGTTGGACTCCACGCACCCGCTATGCGAATTTAAATAAAAATTATGGACTGAGCGTAACTGGGCTAGTTCCTCGCAGCTCTCCGGTTTCTTCGCCAATTTATCCATTCTTCAGTGACCAATATCTCTCTCTAGAGTAACCATAAATCAACACAATTTCCCATTGGGAATATCCAAAATGTCACTGTGCTAAATCCAGGACATCTGAAGAATGTTCTCAGCCGCATAATGATCTAGATGTTAGCTCAAGTATGTCTCTTACCCATCGCAGATCTCTATTATAACTTTTATTCTTATTCTACCTTTTTAATCGGCCTTCATGTACATCCACGTCCCCATACGCTTTAAGACATGCTGAAGCATGAACTCAAGGTACCCAGGAAAACGGCGCAACAACCAGGATTCAAACCGAGTACTTCCCGAATACATTGTGGGACTTGTTACAACTGTACTAACCCCATCGTCACCAGTCAACATAAATATATATGAAAGGCAAGGATGTGGTCCTCTTTCCACGTCCCCCATACACCTTGGTAGCACAATGTTTAAGTCGGGAGATTGAACCTTTTATGTAGTTGTGTAAATGTTGGTGTACTTCAAGCAGCTCTGCTGTATGTCACGATATTAGTAAGTGGGTGCAACGTATGCCAGCTGAAGTGTATGCCCCAATACATGTCAGTGGCGAACCCGATATAGCTGAGGATTACTCCCCCCCCCCCCCCAGAACNGAAGCGTGGGTACGGAATTAATTTTGCACACGGCGTTACCAATCAATTTTATCTTATTTGCTTCAGTGCAGATCCTGCACAAAGTTTGTTCACGTAACGGTAAAGGCCATGACATCGGCTATCCCGAATGATATTTTCCGTAAAAGTAAAAGTAAAGCTATCCCGTACCAGGCCCTGAAGACCCATAGGGTTGTGAGACGTTGAGGGTCCCACACTACCCAGACAAGCGGCTCAAAGATGGTAAGATTGTCAGCCTTACGCGCCGGCCGCGCTTTACTTCCCAGGAAAATTATTTAATTAATTCCTGGTACTTCTGTTAGAGACTGAGTGAACCCCAGGAACATAGGGCGGCCGGAAGGATTAGGTTAACTGGGGGGAGGAAAAAGAAACCATTGACATCATAGCTTCCTTCCAAATACTTTACAAATTATAAATAACCGATCGCCCTATTATTTTACGCCGTGGTAGCGTAGATGGTTGAGGGGCTATGCTACAAGCCGGAAGGTCGCGAGTTCAAGTCCCGATGAGGTCACTGGATTTTTTTTTCAATTAACCTAATCCTTCCAGCCGCACTATGGCCCTGGGGTCGACTCAGTCTCTAACAGAAATGAGTACCAAGAATTAAATAATTTTCCTGGGGAGTAAAGCGCGGCCGGCGCGTAAGGCTGACAACCTTACCGCCATCTTTGAGCCGATTGTCTAGATAATGCTGAACCCTCAACGTCTCACAACCCTATGGGCCTTCACGGCCTGGAACAGGGATAACTTTACTTTTTATGATACGATACTTAGAGCGTCATACAATGTTAGCACATCCTGCAATTTCAAAACCCCACAAACGTACCTACCTGTAACTAACTTCATGGAGCTGAGCCTTTCTTGAGAAGCTGAAACCCCTAAGAAAAGATGGGCGGCTCACACTGAAACTTATGTTAAAGGAAGACGGTGTTAGGGTGTGGATTGGATTCAACTGCTTAAAGATATGGTAACGACGAGGAGTCATCTGGGCTGTAGCGGCTCTCTCCGAACTACGAGGCGTTTCACTCCGGATGGCCGTACTCGTCACCGCCATAAACACCTCAGAGCAATTGTAATAAACGTACAAGGCAGGAATTGCTTGACGAAGTAAATGACTATCAGCTTCTCAAGAAGTACTCTGCTCTATGGAGTTTTTTTTTATTGCTAGTGAGGTGGGACTACGTTCCTTGTACTGCGGCAACTTCTGGCCTATTGTACCAGCCCCATATGATAGATGAGGGTGACTGTGGAACAATTGGTGGAATGAAGATTGGCAGGGGAAACCGAAGTACTCGGAGAAAACCTGCCCCAGCGCCACTTTGTCCATCACAAATCCCACTTAACCAGACCCGGGATCGAACCCGGGCCGCCGCGGTGGGAAGCCAGCGACTAACCGCTTGAGTTATGGGCGCGGCCGTGCTCTATGGAGTCAGTTATTTGGAAAGTTCGATTTTTTTTATACATGAGTAAATATTTGTTGTCTGTTTTTAATTTCGTTAATGGCAGAAGTAATCACAAATTATTTGAAGCATAATTAATGAATGAAATTTGACGCACGCCCACATCTACATATGCTTTAGAGACTTTTCACCAGTATCACTGATTCCATGTCACAGCTTCCCTTGAGCAGCTGCCAGTTATTAAGGTTCCCCGATCTATTCCAGCCTCTATGTTCAGTCCTGAGCCACTTAAATTCAATTTATATCCTTATAACCGGTTTCACTAAGAAACATGTTTACTGCGTAAGGCGACTAAAACGGTAACGCTTCTGACATATGCGAGAGATGCCTGGTTCCCTGATTGAAGCTAGCCGCAGCTTCCCTCAGTCCCAGGAGAATTCTGGGATATTACCTCATATGAGACAAATATCGTTTCCTTCCACAACCTTTCCAAGTCATTACATCATCCTACATAGTCTGAGCTTCTGGTAGCGTTTCTAAATAAACCATAAATATATAACTATATAAATAAACTATAATTTTAGTGGTCTAATGGTCAGAGTTCCTGGCTACAGATCCAGAGGTCCGGGTTCGATTCCAGGCGCTACCACATTTTCTGAGAAGTAGTGGGTCTGGAGCGGGGTCCACTCAGCCTCGTGAGGATAACTGAGGAGCTCTTTCATGGAAATGGCGGCCCCGGTCTTGAAAAGCGAAATTAACGGCCGTGGGGATTCGTTGCGCTGACCACGCGACACCCTCTATCCGCTAAAGTTGGCAATAACTTCACCGACAAGCGGTGGTCGCTCGGTCGATGGGTATAGTTCGCTTGCGGACTAAAGCCACAGTTTCCTTTTGTTTTATCCTCACATCTACGTTACGGTCTCATTGTTAATGTTTGTTAATCCCGCGAGTTGTCGTCCGCTTTATTCACGCTAAAAATATGAGTATTTCGGAAATCCGTCGTGAATTATGTATGATTTACAGTCAAAATGTAATAAGTGAAGGAACTGTAAGATAATGGTGTAGAATTTTCAAAGATGGGCGAACAAACGCTCACGATGAAGACCGAAGTTCAAAGTGTCGATAAAAAAAACTGTAAAAACGACGCTTCAAAATTTCAGAATTTCGCCTAATTTCCCACAAAAGTGCGCAGGGCCGAACAGTCAGAACAAAAGGCGTGGAATGCTGACATACGGTGTAGTATTCCTCTATGATAATGCATGTCCGCACACAGCTGCTTACATTCGACCACTGCTGGTGCATTTCAACTGGAGGTTGTTTGACTACCCTCCTTACAGCCCTGATCTCGCTCCGAGCGACCACAACCTGTTCACCTACCCGAAGTACTGGTTGGATTTTCAACAATAATGAGGTCCTGATGGAAGGTGTCAAAAATGGCTGAGCTCACAGGTCGCAGACTTCTCTGACATAGGTACACAAAAAGTTTTTCCCATACAAGTGCCTCAGATACGGCGGTGACTATGTTGAGAAGCAGCTTAAGTATGCATTTTTGTATATAATATTTTCCCTCACTGCTTGTTTTAATAACAGCTCAACGAGGATTACTTCCCGAATAACTCTCGTACTTCTCACTTACCGCATCCGTGATTTATGTCGCGCACTTCTCATTCTTCTTGATATAACAATCCTAACAAAATTAGGCGAATAGTACGTAGAAAGAAGCCTTCCTTTATGTACTTTACGTAATTTACCACATTCCAGTAATACTTCACATCTACCACGTTCGAGTAGCTCATTTTCCTCGTCGCGTTGTATTCAAAATATAACAGACGAGGTCTGTTACATTATCCCGTGGAAAGCATTATATGTAAATCTGAGAAAGCGAATGATTCGCATTAATGGCCATCCGTGCTCTAACAACCCACGAAAGACCGACATCCTTAATCCCATCTTTCCATCTAATATTGCGACCATGTGCAATTGAAGCTCCTCTCCCCTTCACGGCTGTTTTCAAACGCTGTGAGAAGCGAGATACTTGTAGGCTCTCAAATCCCGGATCCATTGTGGTGTTGACACCCGTAATTATGGGGTCCTCTCGACACCCTTCCTTACACCGTTACAGTACTGAACTAAATGTTGGAATGCTAAGAGCTACTTACTTGAGAATTAAGCAAGAAATGTGTTTACAGTCCAATGCAAATGTGTTACGAGATACAATACGAGACAGCACGTATCTTTTTAGCGTGTTCGCAACGAAAGGTTGCAAAAGAAAGCGCCTATTAGCTTCGCAATTTCTGTTCGTCCCTCAGTCTGCTCTCCGTTGAGGATCGCTGAATGGGATTTTCTTAAAATATGACATTCTTACTAAACTTTGTATAATCGAATTTTTGTTATAATCGGTCAATAGAACGGAGACATGAAAAACAATGTGTATTTCAGTGCGGATGTCCGCGAAATTCGTCGAATACGCATACGAGCGAAATATTTCAAACAAAAGTTGGGGGGGGGTTGACTACTGAAATCAAGGACGTAAAAAGTAAATTCATTCATACAAGAGCGTTCGAGAGTAGAGTCATTTATTTTTAAAGCAGCATGTCTCTTTAATTTATTTTACAACGTTATAAATATTTCAGACTATACAGCTTGGAATGGTCGGATAACTGGTGAATCATGAACTGGTAAGGGTTTGGAATGAAACGGCACTAACCAAAATCTAGGCATTTGGCGGGGCTGAGCAAAAGCTTGAAAAACCCTCGATTAAGAAAGCTGGTGTCCAGGCTGAGCTAACAGAAAACCCACGGCACTGCGTGTCCTCGAAGTTCGGGTGGAGGAGACGACCTCAAGATATGGAGCGTGGCTGATAATAAATTTAATAAGCAGACACGAAAGCCGATATGCGGCAGGCCTACATTTATCTATTTATTGTTCAACGACGCTGTCGGCAGCTCGGATTACATAGCATCTAAAGGTAGGATTACTGACTGAAGAATTGGGGAAAGTGTCTGAAAGCAAGCAGTCCCGTGGCCTATTTGAGGACCTATCATAAAGGGAAACCTCAGTTATGACAGTTTGTGTCCCAGCCAAGATTCGGATCGGGTACCTCTAGAATGCCAGTCAGCTCGGTTACCGCTACATATGCCGACCTGTGTATGATGAGTTCGTGCGTTAAAGGCGTCACGCTTCGAAGCCAAGGTGCCTCTACTTATTACAGTCGAGGATCTACTTCCAAATTAATTTCACAAAGGCAAAAAAGTGTCCCAAAGCTACCATCTCCGAAAAATGAACATTTTCGCTTTCCGTTTAAAGTACATTGGTATCTATATGTGTCTGCTTTAATGTAAAAAAAAAAAAATCTGCTCTTTTCGTGAAGTGTATTCGTGTGTTTCTTATGATTCTCAGAAGAAACAGCGATTATTTCCCTAAACAGAACTGATCAGTTGGTCTTCGTAATGGAGACGTAGTGTTTCCTGTGAGGTACGAATTTGATTCTTAAATATTATTAGGATGAAGTTCAGGCTTCAGTGGCTTAAATAAATATGAGGGCAGATTAAAATTGCTATTACACATTTTATTGAAGTTCCTGGACGTGTTAGATTCAATAAATAATGTATTTCTATTATTTTACTTTACCTCGTTTCAGTTTCAATGTGACAGGATCGCCAGATAATCGAAGACATTTTAAAACTGTAAGAAAACATGACAATACATCAGGATTTACACTGTAATCTTAAAAAAAATTACAACGAGGCAGTATAATCGCTCTTGTTTCCTGACCTTTCATGGTCTTCTGTTTCCTTCTCACATGTACACACTTAAGAGCAAAGGTAAATTAAACACAGCGTTCATGTTACACACTCAAGAGTAAAGGTAAATTAAACACGCGCTTAGAAGCAAAGGCACATTAAACCCAGTGTTTATATTGCACCCTTAAGAGGAATAACACATTAAACATGGTCTCAACGAGATGATGGGAAATGCCCAAAATATGTGTTAGTTTAAGGCTTACTGTGTAAAAGAAATTTAACTGCATATACATTTTCTTCCTCTCATAAACAAAAACAAACTCCGTGGCTTTAGTTAGCAAGCGAACTATACCGACTGAGCGACCGCCGCATGTCGGCAAAGCTAGTGCCAACTTCAGAGGACAGAGGGTGTCGTGTGGTCAGCGTAACGAATCCCCACGGCCGTTAATTTCGGTTTTCTAGATCGAAGCCGCTACTTTTCCATTCAAGTAGCGCCTCAATTATCCTCACGAGGCTGAGTGGACCCCGTTCCAGATCCACTACGTCACAGAAAATCTGGTAGCTCCGGGAATCGAATCCGGAACATCTGGATCTGTAGCCAGGAACTCTGACCAGTAGATCACAGAGGCGGTTTTCTTCCATTCATATTCTGTATGTTTATTTACACAAAATTATAATTACACATATTCTGCCTCCCAGTAAAGACGTGACGCTTGCATCTGACAAAAGTATGCCCTACCAGTTAGGTCCTCTATGTACAACAATAAGTACAGATCGAATTGTTTACCTTCTTTCGTGCTGAATCTATTGACGTCAGTCTCATTAACTTTTAATATTACGTCACCAGCCTCGACCTGTGGAAAGAGAAGATAAGTGTTAAGTTCCTTTCTGTACACAAGGTTTGAATTAAAGTGCAGGCGACTCCCATTACAAGAGCGAGTTGCGTTCCTGAAAATCGCCGTGCATATATGAAAGATATCCGGAAAGTAAAAATACAAAGTCCAGAAAATATTTGTAAAGCATTTTTTTTTGGATTCACTTGAAGAACTTTTACAACATACCTTTATTTACTTTTAAACATAGTCACCATGGATCGCAATGCATTTAGTGAGCCTGGGAGCGAGGATTTTTTTTTATTTCAGCGTTGTAGGAATCTCCCGCCTGCTCTCTTAGACACGGAGAACAGTTCTTGACACTTTTGAACATGAAGTTCATCGACGGTTAAACATCTGCCAGCACGAATGTTTCCATCAGTTTTTGGATGATTTCATCAGTGAAAACGGATGGCCTTCCACTCCTTATTTCATCATGATCATCACTTCTTCCCGCTTCAAATTCACGACACCATTTTGCCACCTATAGCTTCATCATAACATCTTCGCTGTAAACAGGAACAAGTTGGCGATGAATTTCAGCAGCAGTTTGTCTGTTCACGTGAAGAAATCGAATTACTGCATGATCCTCATATCTGACGGGATTCTGAATCGACACGGCCAATTTAAACACATGCTACGAGCACAACGTTGCCGTGACTGTGACCGGTGAACTCTGCCCTGTCATACGGTTCCTATCTCACACGGCAGCACTGCCATTTCTGAAGAAAAAAATCCCTTGCATTTTTACTTCACTTGTAGTTTTACTTTCCGGATATACATCATAGAAAGGGCGTAAAAGGGGAAATAAAAACGACCACTGGGCACGTGTAGAGGGAATAGAAAAGGGTATGGCTGAATCAAAATAACGGGGCGAGTGAGGGACAATGCCCACACATGTTAATGGGCATGTGCAGTAGCACCGACCGTGGCTGCCTATTTTTATGATACTGTAATAAAACCGCGGATAACGATACCGCGTATAAGGAAGTCCATCTGTACATTTCATGAAACACATTAATAAAGTAATGCAGAAATTTTTGTTAAATGCTGTATATCATTTGTCTATCTTCGTTCATAAATTAAGATACTTTGTTACCGAACAAGTTCATTCAGGTGCCAACTCTTTTCATATGTGATCTTGGGATGCTTTGTTCGAATCTGGGTCAGGTTTTCCTTAGTCTCTCCAGGCGAATAACGTGATAGTACCATCAAATAGGCCATGAAACTTACTTCTACATCCTTTCCAACTGTCATTCATTAACTATCCTACCATTGGACACATGGGTTATTGAGAAGGTCGCTAAATTACAACGATTAACATCAACTGTACAGGTAAAGGTAAATTTTTTCCCGTGCTTAGCTAATTAAACAATGAACCATGAAGGCATATGGAAGAGTGGATGTAAAGATCCACGTCTTCTTGACCTCGGCATTAGTTGAAGACGAGTGATCAGCTTCGCGTCCCGGCCGCTTTACCCTCGGTACACACTGGATAGGAGGCTCGGTGCACCCCAGAGCCGGTGTGGAAGACACGGAGATGAGGAAATTATTGAGCTTACCGGGACTCGAACTCCGACCCCTTGGTCGTCCAGCCCATAGCCGGTCGCTATACCGACTACGCTATCCTAGCTCGTTCCGTGTGAAATTAAAAGGCACTATTTACTAATAAATTAAAGACTGTATTTCAATTAATTATGAATTTCCACCAAACCCCGGGGGTGGGATTAGTACATCCCCCATGGTCACATGTTCTGCGATGTCAGTTCGTGCAGTTTCGTAGCTACGTACCAACGTTTCGGAGGAACCTGCTGCCGCCATTTCAAACATTTAACATAGAAAATACGAGACGGTCGTTACAATTCAAAACTGTAAGCATGCAACCCAGAAAACAGGGGTTTCTCTAAACACGAGGAAAGTAACTTAAAGTCTACACTTCAGCCAACAGCAGTTTTAGAATTACATTAAAGATATCCATGGAAAATGTTATTGATACAGTCCAGAGCAAGGATATTCGAGCAATAAATTTTCTAATTTATATGACACAATGTAACTACTACGTCAGGTCTCCATTTCAGACACAGGTGCAGGCTATTTATAAACGCGATGCTTTTTGCAGATGACGCGGCACTTCATTCTGAAATTGTATCAAATAAAAGCATAATGAGGCTGAGACTATTGGTCCGTAATCTGCATCTCCGAAGCTACCAAATAAATTTCTATTAGTTAGTATTAGCAGTCTGCACCAAAATTTGTTTAACTTTAACCTCGGTTAGAATCAACCAAATTTAATAACTACCTTAAACGAAGTTTAATTTATACTAGCGGCGATCTAAAAAATCGGTAACTGCACAAAAATTGTTGTGTGACATAAATATATGTATATTAAGTATATGTATGTATATGTATGTAAGTGTATGTATGTATGTATGTATGTATGTATATTTAATGGACGACCTCAATGGCCGCGCGGTCTAAAACATGAACAGTCTTCACTCGCTCGAACAATGGGATCGTGGGCTCGAATCCCACCGAAGGCATGGGTATCTGTGTTGTGTGCGTTTATTCTGTTTGTGTTGTTCTGTGTGCAGGTAGAGGCCGTCCGACGGGCTGATCTCCCGTCCAAGGAATCCCACCAACCATGTATAAGATCAAGAAACTGAAAAGGGAGCCAACGCCCAACAAAGGGCTGTAGAGCCATAATAATCACACCAATAAATTAAGTAATGAATGCCATGTGGAGGCGGGTTAATATACCTCCACCGTCGCCCTGCGAGTCGTAGAAGGCGACAAAAAGGAAACACGGTAACTGGGGGTATAACTGGACCACCCTGTAACTGGGGGACATAAATACAGAGACAACGGAGATTTGGGAAAAAATGTCGGACTATACAACAAACCAAATAAACTCCGTGGCCTGTAGTCCGCAAGCGAACTAAACCAATCGAGCGACCGCAGCTTGTCGGCGAAGTTAGTGTCAACATTGTTGCGGACACAGGGTGTCACGTGGTCAGCGCAACGGATCCCCACGGCCGTTAAACTCGGTTTTCTAGACCGGAGCCGCTTTCCTTGAAATACTTCCTCAATTATCCTCACGAGGCTGAGTGGACCCCGTTCCAGACCCACTACTACTCAGAAAATCTGGTAGCGCAGGGAATCAAAGCCGGGACCTCTGGAGCTGTAAGTAGGAACTCTGACCATTAGATTAGAGGCGGTCGTCGGACTATACCGCCCTTGCAAAAACAATACAATGGAAAATAACCACGACCAAAACATTCTAAACAAGGTACTTAATGAAGAAAGCAGTCTTCTGGGATGTGGTACCGTGTAGATGTGGTGTTAACCGACGTTTCGGAGGAACGTATCGCCTCCATCTTCAAGGTAGAAAGAAAAATAAGAAAATCTGCAAGCGAAGAGACATAAGTCAAGTCTGCTTACACCGGTTCTCACTGTCTCTTCGCTTGCGGATTTTCCTATTTTTCCTTCTACCCTGAAGATTGAGGCGATACGTTCCTCCGAAACGTCGGTTAACACCACGGTACCACTACACGGTACCACATCCCAGAAGACTGCTTTGTTCATAGTCACCGCCGTGAAAACCTCAAATCTTACAAGGTACTTAATGTTGCATAATGCTCACACAGTGGTGGCCATGAAGTGTACTGATACAACGCCGCGCAGTCCGTTGGCAGTTCACCGACGTTTGCTTTACTCTCCCGTCTTCTTTCTGCTTGACTTACTCTTCTCCTGAAGATGGAGGCAATAAGTTCCTCCTAAACTTCTACCGGATTACACACCATTATATCCTGGAAGAGGGTATATTTGAAGACATTTTATAGTTACACGGCTATGACGGGTCCTCCAGAAATGAGCAAATGGTATTTCTTTACGGTGTATAATGGCTACCTCGTTACGACTCGTGACAAAGGTAGTGTCATCTTTCAAATGTCAAATGTAATGGCCATGACTCGGTCTCTGCGTGAATGTAAGGTTTAAATTATATTACGATGCAGTTAGAATCCATATTTCTGTGTGAAAACGTGTTCTACAGGTCCCAACCGCCTCAAAGTCTCGGCATTACGTAATCCCGTTTCTTGTAATCGAATGTGTATTTCTGGAATTCATTTATCACGCGAGACTTTACGCCTTCGACGTAGGTAACCAATCGTAGTAAAGGACACGAACAGTTGTCTACCCTTTCAGGCGCCCTGCTAATCACCAAGCAACTTTCTACATCAAACGAAATAAATGTGAAATTACGTTACCAGAAGGCGCAAATGCACGAGTGTAGAGATGCACGACCGTCTTTACGGTGCCTCCCAGTGCGAAGTTTCTGAAAGTGGCTCTTAAATGTACAGAAAATTTGTGCAGGATATCTTATTGCGAATAAAACAGGGAAAGCCGGTCACGGTAGCCGAGCGGTCTAAGGCATGTACTGTCTTCGCTCGCTTGGAAACCGGGATCGTGGGTTCGAATCCCGCTCAGGGCATGGATGTTTAGTTTGTGTGTGTGCGTTTTTCTGTGTTTGTGTACAGGTAGAGGCCTTGCGACGAGCTGATCACTCGCCCAAGGAGTCCTACCGAATGTGTAAGATCTAGAAAAACCGAAGTGAACGGAGAAGTTAATGGAGGTAGGCCTAGGCCCACTGGGGCTGTAGTGCCAAGGGAGGGGGGGGGGGAGCAGAGAAATGTAATATTTACGAACTTAATTTGTAGTGCTGCTCAGCAGTATTTCTATGGAATAAAATTTCTTTTTTAACACAATGTGTATAATGATTACAAACACTTTCTGCCTTGGTAGTTCCTTCATCAGTAATACAGTACGTATAAATTGTTCTGGAATAACACCGTTACTGTCCAACCAGACGAATGTACCTCCGTGAGGCCGATTCCTTCTTCAGAAGTCTCCAGTGACTCGGACACTCTAAGAATTTCCTAACATTTTATGGAACCCGAAGGTTCATTACCGTGTTCACAAGAGTT